GTACCTGCAGGGGTGCGCCGCCCGAGACGGGCGAGTTCGAAATGCAATCCAGGCCACGGATCTGCAGCGAAGCGCACGCACCGCAGAAGAGGGCCTTGCTACGGAGCACGAGGCTGTAACCGACGTGTGTGTGTGTGTGCGCGTGTGTGCGTGTGCGCGCCCAAAGTGCTGTGCACCAGACACGCTGGTGTTTGTCATCTGGCCGGCGGTGTGAGAGGCTGGGCGGTCGGTGCTCTCGGACCACAATACAACCTAGCAGGGCTTCTGGAATCCGCACCTCCGGGGGCGTCGAGGGAACTTCATCCACTTCTCCCATGAGTGCGGCTCGGCGTGGCAGTCCCTCAAGTGTCACTTAGATGGGTGGCGCTGTGACACTCCGGGGAGGGTGGGGAGCGAGCAGAAGGGAGGCACCCCAGTCTTTCTTTGAGGCCCTCAGGAAGAGGGGTGAAGGGTGCTTCTTGGACCTTGGCGTGAGTCTGGGACATAAGCTGCCACCCCTTTCATTTAAGCTATGGCTTAGTTTCAGTACTGCTGGCTTCAAAGGAAACCCTTTTTTGCAGGTTTTGTTTTGGGGGGTGGGGTTCCGTTAACTTTCACTACAATATTCCTCTTAAGTGGAGTCACCGTGTAAAACAATAGTTTCCCCTCATGGTGACTATCAGAGGCGAAACTGTCCGTGGCCTGGTAAGCCACTGGTTAGACTGCGCTTTTCTGGCCCAGGGCAGGCTCTTTCCCCCATGAGCTCTTGCTTGGGAGCGTCCAGGGTGCCGGGAAGGAGAGCCGTGAGAGGAGAGGGAGTGTGGTGGGAAACTCCCTTCTAGCCACCGAAAACAGGGTTCAAAGCTATCGGTGTGTCCTTAGAGCTGTTCTCATGGATGGAGGAGGGACTGTTGGGTTAAACACCGTGACCCGATGGGAATTTAGGTTATCACGGGTTTCCAAACACTGCACAGCGTTAGGGAAACAGCGAGAGGAAGCGAACCTTGCGTCCCAGTGCAGTTCTGACGCTAGGCCTGTGGACCGACCACAGAGGAGTACCTTTGCAGAGACGCTTGAGAAGTGGCAGGTGCGTGGCAGGCCGTTCCTGTGGAAGGGACTTCTCTTCATTTGCCGGAGGGCACGTGCACTCACCCCAGGGAGGCGGGAAAAAGCAGGCAGTGAGAAAGCACCCCAGGGCCAGTGGTCCTGGCTCAGTCCCTTCACCTCTCTGCTCGGGATTTGGGCAGGCCGGTCCTCAGGTGGCAGGCTCAGGATTGGAACTGCGCGGCCAGCCATGCGGGATGCAGCTCCCGGCGCCTCTGGCTAGCCCATTAAATAGTTTTAGAGGTCGATTAGTGCCATCCTTGTCGGTAACATAATCCTCTCTGGTAAGTAAACTATTCCAGTACGAGGGAGCAGCAGTGAACGTAATGGCTATGTCGCTGGACTCCCATGTTGTCAGTCGCAGTTGGAGTCCCAGACCCAGTGGTTTAAACTCACGCCGGGCGCCTGTGCGTGCATGCCCAAGATCCCGAGAGGAGAATGGAGGAGAAGGGATTGCGGCGTGGCCACGCTCTGGAGGGTGATTTCTCGCTTTCTGTCTCTCTGTCTCTCCTGTCTTTCTGGTGAGGGCATGTGCCGTATAGCAAAAACCTCTCAAAAAAAAAAAAAAATTTCCAATCTCTTCATGTTGATCATGTGGGCAAACACTGAAGCAAGTTTCTGGATTGTTTCCGAATTTTCTCAGTGTGCCGCCAAGAAGGGTCGTACCAGACAGCAGCTACTGTTCCAGGGAGTATGGGCCCAGGCTGCAGGAACATCTCACCCCTAAGTGGCTCCTACCTCTCTCTTTCCAGGCTCGTAGTGTCAGGGCCTCCAGCTTGAAGTGTCTGGTTTTGTTTTCATTTCTTCCATGGGCAAGAAGGAGAGAGACAACATTCTCAACTTGGGCCCGACGCGAAGACTCACCCCGCGGTCAGCCTGCCCTGGATCTGGGCCCGCGCTGGCCTGGCCAACCGCCCCTGTGACAGTGCCTTGCAGAGTAGGGCATCTTACTGCTGATGCATGGCTGGCCCTCCAGCCTAACACGCATGCCCTAACCGAGCTGCGTCCTGAAGCGGCACGGAGCCTGGCCACAGCCACGATGGTGAGCCATGCATTTGTGCGCATCGGCATCCTTTAGTGTACTTCGTGCTTAAAATGATGCACCTGAGCATCGTGGTAATTATCAAAGCTGGGGACCTGGACCATGGACAGGCTCCAGTAAAGTGCATGTCACCCGGCGTCATGAAATGCTGCTCACTGGAGAAAGACCCGAAGGACTTTCAGGGGGACAAGAAGGCACCTAATGTGGAAAAGCCTTCATTTGCCCAGTGGAAGAAGGTTTTGCGTGAAACTCTATTTGGACCACTCTGATTTCTGTATTTCGGAACATTGTCCAGACAGCAGCGTGGCTCCCACGTTGGCCGCTCAGGGAAATGAGCCCTCGACAAAGCCTCCCAGTACTGCTCGCCCTCTGGCCACTCCGACACACCCAGCCCGCGGGATCAGTCTGCAGGGAAATTCAAGCCATAATTAGACTCACAGGGCGAGGTAAGGCTAAAGAAGTAACTATTGTTCTTAATTTTCAGTGCTTTTTCCTAATCTGAAAACTGTCATTATGCTTTGAATATAAATGTTAATGTTTCTAGAAAGGTGAAATTATTCTGTTCATAAGAAATTCTGAAGCAAAGGGACGGCATTATGAAGAAATAATGTCTTTCTGGCTAGTGATTCAACAAAGAAGCCTCATCCCAGTAACTGTGACCAGAAGTTACACGTGTGTTGTGAATGACTGAGCAAGTCCCCACCTGTCCTGTTTCGGTGACATCACACCCGGGGTGTGTTACAGCGAGACGTGCTCCTGCTCAGTCTGTCAGTCAAGAGTCGGGACGTGTTTAAGGTGAAGTGTTTAACCCCAGGCCTATTGGAGCTCACTATTCTAGATATTTTTAACACCACCATGATGTCTTCAAGGGTTTATTTATATAAAGTACTCAAAACAAACTTAATAGCACAAAAAAAAATTATTTCCAAAAACAGTATTTGCAGGTCTGACTCGTTTTGTAGTCACTGACCCTGGACGGTGGTGGCTGTGTGAGGCAGGCACCCCAGGTGTCTGGCTGCTGCCCTGAGACACGTTTCTATCTCATTTTTACTTCACTCGGGCAGCGCCGTCTGTGGGCTCTTCCGGCTACCGACTTCACGCCTGGGCCGGGCCACGGCCATGTCCCGGTCACGTCTGCAGGTCTCAGTGCACGAGCTCCCTTTCTCCCTCTGTGCAAGCCTGCCACCGTGCCCTTTCCTCACCAGGGTCAAGCTGGTCCCAGTTCCCCATGCCTCTGTGACCCAGTTTCATTACAACCATGAACTTTCCCTGGTAGTCTTCATTTAAATGACTAAAGAGGCACCCTGCTCTCACCAGCACTGTCCTCTGGGGTCCCGGGACTGGCAGGCTGCGCTGGTCTGTGATTCCATCGTGGCAGGAAACCCACCATGCACAGAGCACGTTGTCGTGTCAAACAAGTCCTGGGCTGCCCAGCCGTGGCCTCTTGAGTGGCATGAGGCCTGGTGACATGTGGATGGCCCTGCTGTCTGTCTGCCCAGCAGACGTGTGTCATGTGCTCAGAGGGCCGGCTGGTTCTAGAAGCTCTTCCCAGCGGCTGGAGCACAGCCCTGCTCTATGGGAGTCACAATCCAGTTCGCATCGGACGGTGGCAGGAGGACAGAGACTTTCAAGACACGGCTGTGTGTGAGGCCATGGTCTGCCCCATGGCAGAGGCAATGGAAAGATGGCTTCGGCGGGATAAGCGCTGTCACCCGGCATTCCACGTCGGTATTCCAGACTGCATCACCGTCCCCATCACACACTCCTCTCTGGTGGTCTGCAGGGGCTTCCCCGCTCCCGCCATCACATTCAAACTCCACCTTCCGTGGGGCCAGCAGGTGGTATGGTGATGGGGTGCTAGACTCCCTCGTGGCCGACCGCAGTTCAAGTCATGAACCTGGTGGCTTGCTTTCTCTCTCTCTCTCTCTCTCTCTCTCTCTCTCTCTCTCTCTCTCTCTCTGTCTTGCTCCAGTGAGCACACATGCCCTGTGGCAAGTTTTAAAATAATAATGATAAATAAAATTAAATGAATCATTATTTTTTTAAAAATCCCACCTTGCGTCTGGTGGTCTGGTGACTTTCCCACTCCTGCCATCACACTCCGAGTCCAGCCGTTGGGGCCGGAAGAGGAGCTCGGGTTAGGACTTCCCTTTCAGAGCCTCCTGGCAGTCATGTGGACGTGTCACTCAAGCTCCACTGGCCTGGCTGTTAGGAAGTCGGTGAGTGACAGCCAGTCTTACGGAAGTGGAGTGAGGAGGCGGCTGGAAGTGCATGTGATGTGAGGAGGGACCTCCAGAGGCCGGCTGGGCTGCTGGTGGGAGCTACGTGAATCGGGAGCGTGCAAACACCAGAAAAGGACCCTTTTCGCTCTCCGGCAGCAGGAGGGTGAAGAAGCAGGAGTGAAGATGAGGGCTGTGACTGAGGAATAAAAATTACGTCATGATGTCGCGCAGCGGGCCCAGGGTGCCAGGAGAGGGGCCGGGGACTGATAGTGAGCGGCCACTCCTCAGCACCCGGAGGGCTCAGAAGACAGTGGAAGCTTGAGCGGAGAAGTGATTTAATCCACCTTTTTGGTTTTTGTTTTGTTTTTAGAGATTTTTGCTGTAGGGTGCATGCACTCACCAGAGAGACAGACAGAAAGCGAGAAATCACCCCCAAGGGGGAAGGCCACGCCGCAATCCCTTCTCCTCCATTCTCCTCTCGGGATCTTGGGCATGCACGCACACGCGCCCGGCGTGAGTTTAAGCCACTGGGTCCGGGACTCGAACTGCAATCGACTGGGAGTCCAGCGACGTAACCATTTCGCCATCTTCCGCTCCCGTCACCCTCTGTTTTAAAACGATCACTCGGCCTAGTGTGCAGAGGACCAAGTGCGTTAGAACCTCGGGATGAGGGAGCGCCTTGGTCAGGGCTAGTGAGGCCTACCAAGAGCGGGCGAAGAAGCTAGACTGCATGTATTTTTTCTTTTGCTGTAGGACACATGTGCTCACCAGAGAGAGAGAGAAAGTGAGAAGTCACCCCCTATGGGGATGGCCACCCTGCAATCTCTTCTCCAATCTCCTCTCAGGATTTCGGGCATGCGCACCCAGTGTGTTAGTCAAACAATTCGGTCTAGGACTCGAACCACTCTGTCAGCCATGTGGGATCCACACCCACTGCTGGCCCAACCCTGTATATTCTAAAGGAGTGAATTAGAATGTATTTTGTGGCTTGTTAGGGATGGAGAAAAGAACTAGATGATACCAAGATCTTAGACCATGCAATTAGAAGAATTTCATTTACTAAGATGAGGCAGCCAGAAGGGAAACAAGTTGACAAGAGAAAAAGCCAGAGTCGTGTGAGACCCGGTTCCTTTAACCACTAGGCCATGGGGCTGTCCCAGGTGGGTAATACCATGATCTTCCTTTGACACTTGAAAAAGCTGAAGTAATGAGGCAAAATAGTTGAAGATGGTGGAATCCAGTCCGTAGCCTGGTGGTTAAGGGAATGGATCCCATATGGCCAACTACTGTTCAAATGCCAGCCCCAGAGGCTTGAGAAGCACACCAGGCATGTGTGTGTGCCCAGAATCCCGAGAGGGTGGAGAAATGGAGGAGGAAGAATCACAGCGTGAACACACCTCATTGGTTTCTAAACATCCCTCCCCCCGCCTAGTGCAAGTGTCCTCTAGCAAAATAAAAATAAAAAAATAAAGAAGGCGAACTTGAGGCTGTCTGAGTGTACATTTTCTTCCATTTTTGCATTACTAACAGAAATACCGCGAACTGGGTGAATTTAAAAGCATGGGAGTTTATTTTGACTCACAGCTCAGGGGCCTGGAAGGTCCAAAGCTATTACGGATGGAGGAGGGCAGAACTTGGAGCAGACTGTGTTCTGTGTCCACGTGGCCTCTGCCTGTCTCGGTCCCTCTCCTTAGATACACGCCAGAACTTACTCATGGGCCCGCACTGATGGCTTCATCACACCCAAAGGCCCCACTGTGAGAAACCATGACTAAATTGAGTTCTCACTTAACACACGAGGCCATCAACACCTATGAATTTGGGGTGGACATCTAAATTCAAACGCATGAACCTTCGGGGTCAGAACGTCATGCAAACCATAACAAAGCAGGATCTGCTTTCGTGCTGAATGAAACCAAGCAGGTCAAGGAGCAAAGTGCAAGCGCTTCCTAAAAAGTGCTTTGCCAAATGCAGAGAGCAGAGAAATGCAAGGCGGAAAAAAACGGATGAGCTGAAGGGAGCCCCACCTTAGCCACACGTGTGCAACCTACGCGTCCCCGCTTAGACGCTGAAAGCCCCACCTTAGCCACACGCGTGCGACCTACGCGTCCCGGCTTAGACGCTGAAAGCCCCACCTTAGCCACACGCGTGCGACCTACGCGTCCCCGCTTAGACGCTGAAAGCTTGCGTGGCTATCAGTCAGATGGCCTTCCTTTGTCGCGCTCTTTAAAGCTGTTAGTGTCTCTACCTATTACAGAGGGAGACCTTCATCCCACTCACTCCCTACTCCAACCACCCCTCCCCTGCCACCACATGGCGATTTGGATATGGAATTTATTTATTTTTATTTATTTATTTTTGCTGAAAGGCACATGCACTTGTCACAGAGGGAGGGAGAGGGAGAAAGCATACCTGTAAGGTGTGCAGCTCGCGTGTACACACACTGGGCGTGGTTTTCAAGCTGTGGGTCCAGGGTTAGAACCACGCTGTCAGCCGTGTGGGATCTGGTTCCTTATCCACTGCCAGTGGGCAGGCCTATTATGGGGTATTCTTTTTCTTTCTTTCTTTCTTTCTTTCTTTCTTTCTTTCTTTCTTTCTTTCTTTCTTTCTCTCTTTCTTTCTTTTTTTTTTTTGGAGAGGTTTTTGCTATAGGGAGTATGCACTCAGCAGAAAGACAGAGACAGAGACAGAGAGCGAGAAATCACCCCCAGGGGATATGGCCACGCCACAATCCCTTCTCCATTCTCCTCCTGGGATCTTGGGCATGCACGCATACGTGCCCTGAGTTTAAGCCACCGGGTCTGGGACCCAAACCGCAGTCGACTATATGGGAGCCCAGCAACATAGCCATTATGCCAACCACTGTTCCATCATTGGAGTATTCTTTTTTTTTTTTTTTTGAAGAGGTTTTTACTATAGGGCGCATGCGCTCTCCAGACAGAGAGAGACAGAGAGACAGAAAGTGAGAAATAACCCCCCAGGGGGGATGGCCATGCCGCAATCCCTTCTCCTCCATTCTCCTCTCGGGATCTTGGGCACACATGCACACGCACCCGGTGTGAGTTTAAGCCACCGGGTCTGGGACTCGAACCGCAGTTGACTACATGGTAGTCCAGCAACATAGCCATTACGCTAACTGCTGGTCCCAGGGTATTCTTGATAACAGGTTTTGTGGACAAAGAAGACAATATACAGTAATTCAGATATATTCATTGCAAATTTGAAAACCTAGTTTACCTTTAAGCTTTGAAATTCAAGTTACAAATCAAACTCTTTTAAGGGAAGGTTTACAATTTTGTTAATTGAATTCCTTTGAATTATTAAACTGCTTTATATATGGAATGTATTCAATCTTTTAAAAATACTACAATTGAATTTTAACTTCTTTTGAACATTACAAAAATGTTAACTGATTTTTTTTCTTCTACAACAGGGCACAGTTCTTACAGAAAGTACTAACTGCACATGTGCACACGGCTGTGGCTGGTCTACAGTTCCAACACACACACGCACACCACACACCACACATCACACCACACATCACACACGCACACATCACACAACACACACAACACACAACACACACAACACACACACAACACACACAACACACAACACACACAACACACACAACACACACAATACACACAACACACACATGCACACACAACACACACAACACACCACAACACACAACACACACGCTCACATCACACACCACACACACACCACACATCACACAACATACACCACACACGCTCACACTACACACACACACCACACACACACCACACACACACACCACGCACACACCACACACCATATACACCACACTCACCACACATGCACACACATCCCCCCCACACACACGCACACACACGAGCCTCGTAGCCAGGAAAAGGGGCAGCCTCCACTCTGAGAAGAGCACCCCGCCTACCTCTTGACCAGGACACAGCTCACAACAGCCACCATTTACCGCGTCAGCATTTCCCAAACTGCTTCCACTTCCAATGGCATGTAGTCTGTGCTCCTGGGAGCGAAGGGTTCCAAGATCACAGAAGTTTGGGAACTACCGCATCTTGAGCCACGTTCTCCAGATTCGCCATGCTGTCTGCCTGGCAAAGACAGGAGCCTTGCAGGGTGACAGTCTTAGAATCGCAATCTTTAGAGCCTCGTAAAACGAGCATTCTGTGGCACAGTTTGAAGTCGTGTTTGTGTTTGATAAAACGCTTTTATTTTATTCCTTCATCTTTTTTTTTTTATCTTAATTTTTGAAAGTCAAGACTTAGAAATGCTACCCAAGGGGCTTTCTAATATTCCCCTTCCCCTAAACTTCCCGCAGCCGGCCGTAGACAGAACTGAACAGTGTAGCTCCTGCCTACAGAGCGAACTGCTGACTCAGGCCAAGGGCAGCGGAGACTGTGTGTCCCGAGACGAGGCCCTGGGCCAGCCCTTGGCAGATACGTGTGGTGACCTCCTATTCTGTGTAGTATAACACATAGTAAGGGGGTGGGAAGCCCCTCACACACGCCGGACCTGCTTCTCAGTTTTGCCATCCCTATGGGGACTACCTGGTCGAAATTTAAAAATAAACTCCTTGAATTAGAATAGCCTAAGCAAGTGGAGACCTGGCCAAGAATAGCCATTCCCCATGTCGCCCTCAGAAAGCAGACGATAATCAAAGCCAGCACTAGGGCCAGCAGGTGGAGTGGCGGGTGAGATGCTGGACTCCCTCCCACATGGCCGGCTACAGCCAAGTCCCGGACGTGAAGTCTTGCTTTCTCATTTTCCCTCTCTGGCTATCTCTCTCTGTGTCTCTCTCTAGTGAGCACATGTGCTCTATAGCAAATTAGAAAAATAATAGTAAAGAAAATTAAATAATTTTTAAATAAAAAAATAATAAAATTGACCATGGCTAGGGCCTTGTTCAAAACCATTCTATGTGGGCCGTGTCTATGGTCTAGTCTAGCCTAGTGGTTACGGGGACCAAATCCTACATGGCTGACGACGGTTTGAATCTCAGCCCCAGCAGCTTAGTAAAATGTGCGCTGTGCGCTGTGCGTGTCCCAAACCCGGACAGGATGGAGGAATGGGGAAGGACTGAGGTGTGACCACGCCCCATGACAGGGAGTGCTCGCTTTCTTCTCTCTCCCTCTCTGGCAAGCATAGGCGCCCTCTGGCAATTAAAAAATAATAATTGTATGCAGATTAACTCACTTCATCCTCCACCTGACAGTCGGAGCTACTATGATTCCCCTCTCCACAAATCGAGACCCACTATGCAACCAGGATCCCCTGGCCAGCGAATGGCAGAGCTGGATTTGCCCACGTTGCCCCGTCACGAAGTATCAGTGGGTCGGGTCACCTCCCCTCCCCAGGCCACCAGCCACCCCCACCCCAGGCACCCTGCACTCTCTCCCTCCTCCCGTTCAGTCAAGTGCCATTTCCCAAGGCAGTTTCCTGACCCCGACCACGTCCCAGCCTCCGGCTGCGCCCGCAGTCTTACTCCACCGCAGAAGCCTGGCCTTCGGTGCTCACAGCACAGGCCGCATGGCGCCAGTGCTCAGGGGTCTGTCGGCCCGTTCGACTAGCGTCTGTCTCATCCACCCGACCGTGAGCTTCGCAGCAAAGGTTTGCTGGTGTGTCCATCAACGTGCAAGGCACAGAGCAGGCTTCGGAGATGAGCCGCGTGATGGCGTCCACCCGGGACAGCGCATCTGCCCCCACTGGAGCCTTACAGCATGCTTGCCACGAGTTTACGACCTAGGCGATCGCCGGAAATGAAAAGTGTTAGCCAGTATGTAAGCATGATGCCAAATCACTTAATCCGCTAAATCGAATCGCTAGAAACATGGGAAACAAAGCCATTAGAGGAATATGATACATAATTCTGAATAGCCAGTTTGTTTATGGGTGGGGTGGGGGAGGTGGAGGTGTATTTATAGCACTACAAACAACAATTATAGAGGTTTAAGGTACGAGAGGGGCCAGCAGGTGGTATGGTGGTTAAGGTTCTGGACTTCCACATGGTCAGTCACGGTTCGAGTCCAGGACCTGGCGGCTTGCTTTCTCACTGTCCCTCTCTTTCTCTCTCTCTCTCTCACTCTGTCTCTCTCTGATGAGCGCATGTGCCCTATAGCAATTAAAAAATAATGTTTATAAATAAAATTAAATAAAGAATTTTTTTTAAAGATACAAGACAAACTTCCCAGGACTGTTGAGCGATGGGCAGGATATTCAGGGAACCCTCTTTAGGCTCCTTCACCCCATCACTCACTATTGCCAGCCTCCTGGGGCACAAGCTCCATCAGTGTAGAAAGTTCTAGAAGTGCTTTCAAGAAAGGATTCTAAAAGCACAGTCTAGGTGTAGAAGAATTCCTTTTTCTCTCATTTTTGTAGGCATAAGATTAAAATGTGAGTAATAGGCACCATCCATCCACACCCTAGCAGCTTTTTACACCTAAGTCGCAATGTATGAGAACATGGCTTTCTGAAGTGAGCAATCTAGACTTTTAAATATGTGCGTAGATACCCCTGACTTAGAGACGGCATATTTGAACTGGTGACATGCCGAGGAAACCCAGTATTGCCACAAACACATCAGGCTCGCATTTGGTAAGCACTAATGAGCTCCCCAGCTCTATCTAACGAAAAATGGATACCTACAAACCCTTCACAGAAGGCCCCTCTCACCAAAATGCTTGATAAATAATACTTCATTCTTTTTCACAGAGATTTGGAAGG